GTATGGTATATATCAAATGATCACTTATGGAAATTGCGGCTCATTATTTAAGGAAGTAATTAAGCCATGTTTTAAAGTACCTTAATTACTCAAATCATGTTGATTAATTAATATATGGTATAAAGTGGACGAATTTATTTTTGGTATTGATGGTTGTTTTTATGGGAAATAAATTAATTAATATATGGTATAAGGTGAGAAAATTTATGCAGGTTATTTGATGACTGTTTTTTGGTAGAAAATTTGTTAAAAAACTAATCAATATGGTGTACTTTTTTCTGTAATGCCCAGACCAATTTATTAGTTTTATACTTGGGTTTCAATTTTTATGTCAGTTATTCGTATGAAATTAACATAATAAAATTACCATACCTCCGACCAAATAATATGAACGGATATTTGATATAATGTGCATGTATCGATGTTTTTTTTTAATATAGAAAAATCTATGGTCAATTTTTTTTTTTGGTATAATTAGTAGGTATCGATTTAATTCGTTTTTTGTTACGACATTTCAAATAATTTTTGTGTGAAATGTTTTAAGCATGATAAAGAGTGTCAAGTTTTTTGTCATGAAAATCTTATGACTGATTGTTTTTACTCAACTACTTAATTTTTTGATTTGGATATTTTATACAAAAATAAATTCATTTCAATTAATGAAACAATTTAAGTTTTATATTTACTTATTATTCACATAGGTTTTTAAAGGTACGACAAAATTTTACCAAAAAAATATTATTTAATGAGAATTTTTATTTTAAATATTAATGAATATCTCATACCCGTGCATCGCACGGGATTCGTACTAGTTAATGATAAATAAAATGCAAAAATATATTGTGTATATTCACCTTAAATATTGTCGCACTGCGAATGCACAATATTGATAAACGAAGCGCACATTAATGACCGATTGAATGCTCATTAGCGACCTAATGCGAACGAACTAAAATTTTTGGTTTGAAATTTTGTATGTCGATTACATTAGATGTTTTTAATTTTAAAATTTCAATTATCTTGTTTATAAAATAATATAAAAAATTAAAAAATATTAATATACTATATAAACAAGACACACATTATTGACTATTAAAACGCACAATAATGCTCGAACGAATGCACGTTAGTGCATTTTATATTACATATTAGCATAACATTCTATTCACCACAATAACACAGCGTGACAAAAAAAATGTTATTATGATAGTGTGCATTTTCACATATATTAATTTTGGTTTGATTTAAGCTTTATTTACAAAAAAAAAATAAAAAAAATAAAAGGAATAACAGAAATGACCGAACTATGTAAGAAATTATTATTTTTATATTTTATCTATATATATATATATACTAGTGTATATCCCGTGCGATGCACGGATGAGCTCATATTTTAAACTTTTTTTTAGACTTTATTTTAAATATAATTATTTATATTTTTCACATCTCGTTATTATGAAATTAAAATAAATGCAAAAAATGAAAAATATATATTATTAAACACTTCTTTTAATACAATATTTTTTATTTAAGGAATATTATCAAACCTATATGATTGTTAACGTACAAAAAATAATGGAAATAATCCATACTTTAAAGTAAAACTATTTTTTTTTATTATTTTACAAATAAAAATCATCTATTTTTTTATTTCAAAAAAATTTGGCAAGTTTGTTAATGAGTTAAATCAAGTTATACAAATGATTAAATAGTTAAACTATTATATTAATTATATTTTAAGAAATCCGATTATATAAATGTAGGTAAAAAAATATTATGCTAATTAGTTTGTTAGGATTGTGATTATATGGAATTTAAGATAAAATGAAATGTAACCAAAAAATCTGTTCGTGGTCTTTTCCTTAAAATGTTTGAATTTAAAATTATATAACCAAATTTACATTATATCACATAAGGAAAAATAAATAATAATATTTATGAATATGTTTAAAAATTTAATTTTGAATTTCAAATAGAGTAGAAGACGGAATAATTCAAATTTGTTTTCAAAACGTTTTTAAAGTCTTTAATATTCTGGTAAGTATACCCTTAAGAATAATCTTACTATTTTAATTTCAAAAATTTTGGCAAGTTTGTTAATAAGATAAATTCGGTTAGACAAAAGATTAATTAGTTAAAATATTATATTAATTATATTTTAAAAATTCCAGTTATATAATTGTAATTGTATTAATTAATTTGTTAAAATGTAATTATATGGAAGTTAAGACAAAATGAAATGTACCCAAAAAATCTGCTTAGGATCTTTTTCTTTAAATGTTTGAATTTAAAATTTTAATATCGAATTTCGATTATATCACATAATGAAAAAATAAATAATAAACGTTTATTAATATATTAAAATATGTGATTTTGAATTTCATATAAAGTATAAGGTATGATAATTCAAATTTATTTTTTAAATAAAAGCTATGATAAACATTTATTGTTTCTCTTTCAAAATATTAATAAATAAGAATATAAATCCAAACAAATTTTGATAAAATGGTACCCAAAAAATCTGTTTGTAATATTTCCTTTAAACAATTTTTTTTTTCAATTTTAAACAAAAGATAAACATAATAGGTTGAAAAAAAAAAGAAGTCAAATATACTGCTAAAATAAAAATCTATTTTCTCTAATCAAAAGGAACTTGAATTTATCTGATATGGAAGGAATCTCATCCAAAATATATTGAACTCATCCAAAACATACTGAATTTCGGAATGAAAAAATTTCAAATGTTCGAAAAAATTTCAAACAAAATTTTAGGAGGGAAAAAATGATTTGAGCGGTAAAATGAATAATTTTTCAAACATTTTTTCTTCTCTCTATTATATAGTAATAGATGTTATTTATTTTCAACCAATAATAATATAAAATATAGCATTACTAAATATTTTTTTCTTATATAAATAATTTGATAAAATGGAAAAAATAATGTTAGGTTAAAACGAATTATTAATTTTTCTAAAATAAAAAATGCACATAAAAAATTACCCGATCAATAGACGAAATAATAATGTTAGACAAAATGCACATTATTGTCTGTGGGAATGCACATAATAGATTACCGAAAATTACCGAAAATGTACTGATACGTTTTTTAGTACGTGTATCACATTCAAATCTCACATTTTTCAAATTCAAATACTTTTCAATTTTATGGGATATTTATTGATTTGAGTTTTGAAAACCTAAAAATATCTTTAACTTTAAATATATTCACATGGATTTAGGTAGGAAATAATAAGATGATCAATTTAGTTACCAAATAAAATGGTTTGGCAATACAATCCAAATATCCAATTTTTGAACCATTTATCACGTGTGTGTTTAAATTTGGTACTTATAAAAGTAAGTCAGTCATTTATTTTTTTAAATCAAAATTACAATTTATGTATTTTTCCAACAACATTTTTATGAAATTTGTTACCAAAAAAAGCCCAAAGAATCTGATCGTATTGTAAAGGTTGTTACAAAAAAATTATGCTAAAAAATTCGAACCCCTTATCAAATTTTCAGCTAGAGATTGTGTAAATAATTATGAAATTTGTAACCAAAAAAAAGTCCAAAGAATACGATCATATTGTGAAGGTTGTTACAAAACAAAAATGATGCTAACAAATTCGAACCCCTTACAATTTTTTTGCTAGAGATTCTGTGTAAATATTTATGAATTTGTTACCGAAAAAAACCCAAATAATCCGAGCATATTGTGAAGGTTGTTACAAAAAAATATACTCAAAAATTCGAACCCCTTACCAAATTTTTTACTAAAAGATTTACCAACATTGCTAGAGATTTTGTGTAAATAATTATGTAATTTGTTACAAAAAAAAAAAAGCCAAATAATCCGATCTTAGTGTGAACGTTGTTACAAAAAAATAAAATGCTAAAAAAAATTGAACCCCTTACCAAATTTTCAGCTAAAAGATTTACCAAAATTCTTAAAAATCATTATGGCATGTGGATTGTAGAATATTACTTATATTAGTAAGTCAACACTTTGTTTTTTAAGTCAAAGTTACTATTTAAATATTTTTCCAACAACCTCTTTATATTACTATAGATGAAAGAATATAAACCACAAAAAGGAAAAATGAAGTTAGAAGTTAGGTCATAAAATAATGTAATTTATTATAATTTACGAAAAGCAAATTAATATATTTCGACAAAAATTCCTAAATATAAATAATTTATAGAAGATTGGAGTTTATCAATGTTTAGTATATCATCCATTATTCTCGGAACAATTTATTGTTTTATTTATAACATTAATTTGAATGGAAAAAAATCTGTAAATGTTGGGATATCTCAATTTTTTGGCATAAGAATCTCCAAAGTTGTTACCAATAAAAATTGGATTCATATTTAAGAAATGAATTATAATTTGACACGAGAATCTCCAAATTTGTTAGTTACCATAAAAATCTTTATTCTTTTTTTTTTTAGATATCTCAATTAAATTTGATTCCTAAGATTCACTTATGATTTTTTCAAAGTTTTCACTAATAGTAAGTCAAATTATTTATTTTTAGTCAAATTACTATATAAGTATTTTTTCAACAACCACTTTATATTATTATAGATTATAGATTATAGATATAGATTATAGATTTTAATAGGCATTACTTTGCGCAGCCATTTTTTTTTTATTCTTCATTTTTTTCTATGTATAAATTTCTTATTTCACAATGCGTGAAAGTAAGATTAAATAGAGTCGCTTTCTTCGTTTTCAAATTATTACACGTCACTTTGAAACAGTCTAGAATTGTTAGAGATACTCGGCCATGGATTAACATCACTAATATCAAGTAACATCAATAATATCAATGGACCATAAAAAAATAATAATAAAATTTTATACAACAATAATTATCAAACAAGATGTAGCGTAGCATCAAAGTCAAGATCCCCAATATTCTACTCCCTTAAAATACTGATGTGACTAACCTATATTTAGTGAAATTATATATTTTTTTCCCAAAAATAAATAGCAACAATATATAAAATATAGCTAGGAACGGAATTCATTATTCAGTGGTGACACCATCCATGAACTGCACAAGCAGTTGCCGCTTTTAGCCAACTGGCCAATATGGTCTCGGTGGTGACACGGCCATTTTCCACCTTCCGGTGGCCGCTGGCTCTCAAATTTCCGGTCAGCCTAAGAATTCCGGCCCAATTCGGAGCCCTAATCACCGTCTACCACCAGCTTTCGAGGTTTTTCCGGTCGGAATCTGGCGCCTCTGTAATTTCGTTTGTATTGAAATCTGCTAGTATTTTTATTGCGATGACTTTGCCTGCATGGGTACTTTTGTGCTTGGACAGAAGAAAGAGAAGGAGTGAATCTATTGTTCCGGTGGCGGAGGTCAACCACGAGTCGCCGGAGAGGATGGGTTTCGGGCCCAGGGACGACGATGGTAAAACACTGTTAGCTATTGAGTGTCCATTCTGTGTTGATAGGAAAACAGAATGTGATTATTTTAATCCTGTCAAGTTTTGAGAATTTTGGTGTCTGTGTGTTGTTGAATTGTGAAGTTTGTACAATTTTTCTGCCTGTGCTGTGGTTTTTTGGAGAAATAATTTTTATTTTTCCAAAAGTTAGTGTTACGAAATTTTTATATTTCCTAGTTCAAGGTTCAGCTTCTGACATTTCATCTTTTATTTAAATGTTTTCATGATAAATTGTTAATAACTTAATATGAATAGTGTGATTGATTATAAAAAGAAATTGATATCTGTTTTTTCATTATCCGTTGGGTAATTGAGGTGTGATTTGTTAGTTTATCTTGCCCACATCTGGTGATCCTGTTTCTTCATATAATTAATTACACCAACTGGTTAATTTTCGGAAAAATCGACATTAATTTTTGAAGTTTACAAATCCTTTGTAAATCTTACATACTTCTTGTTTTGCTTGGTCTGAAGTGATTCTTTGGTAGTATGTCATCCCTGTTGAAACTGTGCAATTTGTAAGTGATGTAGAACAGTACTTTGGCATTATTCTAGTGAATTTCAACTACTATAAGCTTGCAACCCTCTGTATAATTTCATTATTCATCACTACCCATATATTTGGAGCTCATGAACAAACTTGAGGTTTAACCAACAAAGTGCAGTTCTAATCATCAGTCGACATTCAGCAGTATCAATACATGGCATTCTTTTAAGGGAATAACCTGATAATAATGTGGGGATTTATACACGGCACATTTCCCTTTCTTTTTTTTTTTTTTTTTTCTATTCACATTGTGAAACTCAGCTCAATTGTTACCACTCTAGCTAGCTTGATTTCTTACTTTTCTTCTGATATGAATGCACGCTAGAACTAGTTCCTCTTGTGATATTTGACACTATAACAAATTTGCTATGTTGTATTTGATAAATTGGACCTAGTTGTGAATCCTCATTTGCTTCCACATTTTATTTTATCAAGCTTTGCCAACTAAAGCATGTTAATTCTACCACCTGTGCACCCAACATAAGTTTCTTTACGAATTTCACTTTTACCCAGCTTAATTTTCTCCTGCAGATGAAACTCATTTTCAAGAAATTTTACTGTCTTCCATCTTCACTCCCGAAACACCACCTCATAATCCCGACCAAGAACCCGAAAACCCACCCCAAATCCTCTGCGAGATCTGCCTCGAGGACAAGGACAGCTGGCAGATGTTCGAAAACGAGGGGTGCCCCCACACGTTCTGCTACCCCTGCACATCCCGCCACATCAGCACTAAAATCCAAGAACAAGCCCACCACATAACCTGCCCAGCCCCAAATTGCAAGTCTGTCCTAACATACGACACATGCAAATTCATGATCCCAAATGACACTCTCGTTAAGTGGGATCGACTCCTCTGCATATCCCTAATTCCCGAGCCTCACAAACTGTACTGCCCTTTTCGTGACTGTTCAGCCCTTCTCATTTACGACTCACTTGAGGTTATTGAGCAGATTAGATGTCTCGTCTGCAGACGGGTTTTTTGTGGGGAGTGCCGTGTGCCATGGCATTCGGAGTTCAGTTGCAGGGAGTTTCAGAAACTGTGTAAGGGAAAGAATAAAGATAATAATAAGATTTTGAAGGTGCTGGCGAAGAAGAAGAATTGGCAGAAATGCCCCAAGTGTAAGATGTACGTGGAGAAGAGTGAGGGTTGTGTGCATATAACTTGCAGGTGTTCGTACGAGTTTTGTTACAGGTGTGGCGGGAAATGGGGCGAGTCTCACGGAAAATGCGTGACGAGAAGGAGGTGGATTCCTTACCTATCTAACTACTAGGTGAGTGTTTGGAGGTTGAAGGTTGAAGGGGGGTTTTGTTGCATTCTTGTATATATATGTTAATATGGTTGTTCTTTTTCTTTTTTCCTTTCTGTTCTGCCCTTTTGATTGAGTGGCGTTTTAGGTTCGTTTTCAGTATGGTATTTAGGAGTATTGGTGTTTTAGGTTCATTTTAAGTATGGTATTTAAGAGTATGTGNAGAAAACTAATTGAGCCCGTACAATTGCAATTTTTTTTATTATTATAATTATTATAATTATAATTATTATTTGTGAATGATGGAAGTACATAGGAAAGCTAGAACTCTGCCACTACCGGCATAAGATCTTAATATAATTTTGCTTTTTCAATAATATTTTGGGATAAATAATGTAAATTATAGCATAAGTAAAGTTTTGCATACATTATCTCAAGAGTGCTTGTTAAGAAAATTATATAAAATAAAAAAAATATTTTAAATTTCAATAATTCTTTAAAAATTATACTATTTATATTTAAAATAACACTCATAACTTATACGACTTACTATCTTGTATTATAATTATATCATAAAGCTACATTGCAGTTAAAACTAATTTAAATAATTTTACTTTTTTTCACCTAAAATTAATAGGTAATAGGAAATTTATTATAAACATAAATATAGTTATTTTAGTTTGTATGCACAATATATATGTCAAATCGAAACTCTTCAAAATATGATTAATTTGATATATTTTATCTAAAAAATTATTAATAAATAAAAAATTACTAACTTTTAAATACATTTATTATTTAAGTTAGTAAATTTTATATAATTTAAAAATAATGACAAGAAAAAAAGAGATTGGGGAAACAGATTTATGGCTTATAAACAATGTCTAGAACGAGAATAATATTAAAACATAATTAATGATTGTAAATATTCAATATATTTATGATATTCCAGATCTAGTTATTTTTTGAAGGAAAATAAATTAAAATTCATCCAAGAGAAATGATAAAGAATAAAAATTTGTTATATAAAATCTCGAAGCGTGCGAGTCTTCCACTTAATCTCAACAAATTCAAAAATTATATACAGGAGATAAAATGTTGGGAAACATTTTATAGGAGTTCATTTAATTTAAGTAAAACAAAAGTAAGGTAGCTTCTAATTTCGGTCCAATTTTGCATTAAATGATTATAAATAGTTTTCACATCGTTTAAGAGAAAATCCCTATAAATGTGAGCAAAATAATAGTGAAGTAGCTTCCAAATTCCTATCCAAATTTTCATTAAATAATATAATTAGTTTGCACATCCTATTAAGGGGAAATTCGTGCCTAATCAATATCTAAAAATCCTATGGGTTACTTCACATGGGATAGGTTCGACTCTAAGTGTTGTCTAAACTAAATGTATATTTGTTGCAATTAGTCTTCCACTTAGAACCATGTATTTACTAGTACGCCATCCACAACCGCAATGAAGAAGAAAAGCAAGAAGATGAAATAGAGGTGACAGCTCTTCTCCAAGAAGTAATAACGGTAGTTTTGTCGTTAGGCAGAGTAGCTTAGTTCTTGTATTGTCTTGTGTTCCGCTCTAGTTTGTTCTTATATTGTTAGTGTTTGGTCTAAAGCAATCTTATTAGTTGATGTTATTTCCATTGGATTCACTCGGGTGCTGAGAGTAGGACCTTGGTCTAGTTGTCTACTTCCATCTCATGTGAATCATAGTTAGTTTAGTTGTCAAAGTTTTGTCTCATGTGAATCTTAGTTGTCATGTCCAAATTGCACTTTATTTGGTGGTGTATTTTATTTGTGTATTGTCTGAAGAGAAATGCTATAGGTACATAATACATAAATAGAGATGTACATAACACTCACATTAAGTGACTCCTACCAAAAATAAAAAATCAAAGTGGACCCACTCCATGTGAGCGTTATGTACACCTCTATGTACATTTATTATGTACTTGTAACATTTTTCTTGTCTAAATTAGATTCTGTCGGGATAGTTAGATGGTATATGCTATATCAGTATTAGTAGTCTTAATATAGTCCTGTGTTGTTAGTTTTAGTTTGCGTCTTTTCTTCTTAAGTCGTGTTTCCCATTTACAATAAATAGGGCATGTACTTGTATTTTGACCGTTGAGCAATTTATGAAAAAGTCACAGAAAGAGAACTTTCTCCCCAAAAATATCTTCCTTTGATTTTCCTTACAGTTTGTTCATGGTATCCAGAGATTTATTTGGCTAAGCTTTGATCGGTGATTTCATGGCGAGACAGCGAGACAACACAACTGACGGCGAGATCGTTCTATCGCATGACGATCCGATGCATCTCCAAAGCTCCGATCATCCCGGGATGAACCTGGTGTCGATTCAGCTAAATGGCAACAATTTTTTACCATGGAAGCGAGCTGTTCTTATTGCACTAGGCGCGAAAAACAAACTCGATTTTATTAATGGTACGCTTCTACCTCCTCAGGAATCTGATGATTTTAAAAAATGGAAAAAGGTGGTTTATATGGTGATTTCGTGGTTACTGAGCTCGATGTCTAATGAGATAGCAGAAGGATTCATTTATGTGGCATCTGCTTTTCAACTTTGGGATATTATAAATCAAAAGTTTGGTGAGTCAAATGCACATGTAATATTCAATTTGCAAAAGGAAATTGCCAATATTAAGCAAGGAACTTCCTCTGTGGTGTTGTATTTCTCAAAATTGAATCGATTATGGGATGAATGTGTTGTTTTGGCTCCTTTTACCACTCTGTGGTTGTGCTAGATCAAAGGAGATCCTTGAAATGAACTTTAGGAACAAGTTGATGCAGTTCCTCATGGGTCTGAATGAGACTTTTGAACCTATTAGTAGTCAGATTCTGCTTATGGAATAATTGCCTAATGTCAACAAGGCATATTCTCTTATACTGCAGGAAGAAAGAAAGAGAAGTGTCCACACTTTATATCCAGATACAGCTAAAACTGCAGCCATGGCCTCTGGTCAAGTGAAGGACTATGGGAACAAAGGGAAACCAGGCTGGATTAAGGGAAAAGGACAGAGTTGGAACACAGGGAAAGGCAAAGTGTTTACACCTAGAAGATCTAAAGAGGAAAGGGCACAACTCACCTGTGAACACTGTGGTTTTCGTGGTCATGAGAAAAAGGAGTGTTTCAAACTTCATGGATACCCAGACTGGTATAAGGAGTTCAAAGAGAAAAATAAGGTTGCTGCAAATCAAGTGGATGCTGGAGGAAATTATTCAACATCAATGGGAATTGATATGGCTAATTTGGCTCAAGAGCTCATGAAGTATATGGGAGGAAAGCAGAAATCAGACTTTGAAGTGTTATCTGAAGGAGTTAACTTTGCAGGTAACATTGCTAGCCTTGATTTTCATTTTGCACTTTCAATGTTTGAAGATATAGGAAAAGGATCTTGGATCTTGGATACTGGTGCTAGCAAGCACATGTGTGCAAATGAATCCCAGCTACATGATATTGTTCTTTTGCCTAAGCCTATTGTTGTGTATCTTCCTGATGGCACCCTCAAACAAGTCACACATAAAGGAAAAGTTTATATCAATCAAAACATTACTCTCACAGATGTTTTGTATATACCAACTTTTAAGTTCAACCTTTTATTAGTCTCACAATTGGCCCAAGGTTCAAACATTTCATGTGTTTTTACCCCTACCAAATGCTTGTTGCAGGACCTTAAGGATTGCAAAGTGGTTGCAGAGGGAAAGATGATATGAAAACTCTACATTCTACATTCTGTTGACCATTCAGCTTATGTAAATAATTCTTGTTCTATTGCTTCTGAGAAAAATAAACTAGTAAGCTGGCATGTTATGTTGGGACATGCATCTGTAAGTTGACTGAGACACTTATCCTTTTTGAACCCTTATCTTTCTGAGCATAATGAAACTTCTGTCAAATCTTGTGAGACGTGTGCTAGAGCAAAACAACACAGAGATCCATTTCCTGTTTCTTCTTTACAAACTCAATCAGTTTTTGATCTTTTGCACATTGACCTTTGGGGACCTTGTAATGGCAAAAATTTGAAAGGGATTAAATATGCCTTAACCATTGTAGATGATTTCAGTAGGGCTACATGGTTATACCTTCTTATGCATAAAAGTTGAGTGTCTCATATCCTTTCCTCCTTCATTTCTCTCATACACAACTAATTCCATAAAACCCTAAAAGCCTTCAGAAGTGATAATGGTACTGAGTTTGTAAGCCAGGAATGTCAAAATGTTTTCCATTCTTTTGGCATTGTGCATCAAAGAACCATTGTCTATACTCCTCAGCAGAATGGCATTGTAGAGAGAAAACATAGGCATCTTCTTGAAACAACCAGATCACTTATGTTTCACTCAAAAATTCCTTTGTTTTTGTGGCCTGAATATTTGTTGATAGTTGCATACATAATAAACAGACTAACAAACTCTACTTTGAAATGGAAAACTCCATATGAAGTCCTATATGGCAAATTACCAGAATATTCTTTGTTGAAACCTTTTGGCTGTTTAGTATTTGCAGCCAATACAGAGCCACAAAAATCCAAATTCAGTACCAGATCACACAAGTGTGTCTTTCTTGGATTGGAACTGGGTAGAAAAGGGTATAAGTTGTTCAACATTGACACTGGCAAGATCATAGTCAGTAGAGATGCCAAAATTTAAGAGGATATTTTTCCTTATCATGATAAAGTTATTCCTTCCCAAGTTTCTGTTCCCATACCTCAAATTTCCACTATTGATGCTTCTGATACTGATGTGTCCATTCCAATTGAAAGTCCATAGACACATTCTTATGATTCTCAACCTTCAATTTATCATTCACCTCCACATAGACCAGTCAGAACAAAATCCAAACCCTTTTGGCTGAAAGATTATGTGATTTTGTTTTAGTACTCATTTTTACACTGCTGCCATGGAGCAATCTCAGAGGGTGACCACAGCAGGTAATCCTGATACTCATACACATTCTTACCTTCATACATATCATTTTCACCCTGACTACCTTGAATTTCTGCACAATGTATTCATTGATCAAGAACCTGCTTCTTATTTTCATGCAAAGAATAGTGTTGAATGGGTCAGGGCAATGCAACAAGAGCTGGATGCTCTTGAGAAAAATGATACCTGGGATTTGGTTGCCTTACCAGCAGGAAAGAAACCCATAGGTAACAAATGGGTTTATAAAATCAAAAGGAACCTGATGGGTCAGTGGATAGGTATAAGGTCAGGCTAGTAGCCAAGGGCTACACACAGATCTATGGAACTGATTATGTGGACTGTTTTTCCCCTGTTGCTAAGCAGGTGACTATCAGGTTGTTTATGGATATCAGTTCAACTAAGGGTTGGCCTTTGTGCCAAATTGATATTAACAATGCTTTCTTACATGGAAGTTTGAAGGAGGAAATTTACATGGAATGTCCACACGACTATGACAAAGGGAACAATGGGCAGGTATGTAGGTTAAAGAGCTTATATGGCCTTAAACAAGTCTCCAGGGAGTGGAATCAGGAATTTTGTGACAAACTCTTGATTTATGGTTTTGCTCAATCACAACATGACCATTGCTTGTCTATAAAGTCTACAGGGGATAGTTTTATATCTCTTTTGGTATATGTGGATGATGTCCTCATCATGGGGCCTAATTTGCAGTTGATAGAGGATTTGAAGTCCTATCTGAACAAATAGTTTACCATTACAGATTTGGGCTTTGCTAAATTTTTCTTGGGAATAGAAACTGCAAGAGGAGATCATGGGACTTATCTTAGTCAAAGGAAGTATGTGTTGGATATGCTTCAGGATATGAAGCTTGAACATAGCAGAACAGTTGCTACTCCTTTCCCACATGGTTTAGTGTTGAAGGGTAAGGAATGATTGCCTTTATCTTCTGCTGACACTTACAGGAGAATAGTGGTGAGGTTGTTGTACCTCAATCTTACAAGGCCTAACATAGCTTTCTCAGTTCAGCAACTAAGCCAATTTGTGAATGATCCCTACACTTCTCATTGGGATGTTGCCATGCATCTGCTTAGATATTTGAAGGGCACACATTTATGGGGTTATTTTATCCTAGTTCCAACAGCTTTAAATTGACAGCATACTGTGATGCTGATTGGGGAGCTTGTCCAGAGACTAGAAGGTCTTTAACTGGTTTTGTATTTTTTTAGGAGACTCACTGTCTCATGGAAGAGTAAGAAGCAATCTACTGTTTCAAAATCCTCTGCAGAGTCTGAATATAGAGCTCTACAGGTTGTGAAGTTCAGTGGTTGGTGTATGTTGCACACGATCTTCAGATTCCAGTTCATCTTCCTGTCCCTTTACTCTGTGACAACCAATCTGCTTTTCATATAGTGGAGAACCCAATTTTCCATGAACAGATTAAATACTTGGAAATTGACCGTCATTTGGTCAAACACAAATTCAAGGAAGGTTTACTTGCTCCTAACTACATTCCTTCTTCCAATCAGCTTGCAAATGGCTTGACCAAGTCTCTTGGTGGTCAACCTTTTCGATCTATGGTGGTCAAGTTGGGCATGACAAATTTTCACTTTCAACCCACTTGAGGGGGGTGTGTTGAGATAGTTAATTGATATATGCTATATCAATATTAATAGTCTTAATATAGTCCAGTGTTGTTAGTTTTAGTTTGCGGCTTTTCTTCTTAAGTCATGTTTTCCATTTACTATAAATAGGGCATGTACTTGTATTTTGACCGTTGAGCATTTTATGAAAAAGTCACAAAAGGAGAACTTACTCCCCAAAAATATCTTCCTTTTATATTCCTTACGGTTTGTTCAGATTCTTCCACATCATATGATGAAAACATTATCAAGATCGCAAAACCCAAGTGATATCGACATGATACACCAATGCATTGGCACACAATGACTACACAAGCAGCAACACAAATCTTTATAAACATTAAGTTTCATACCAAAATAATAGTCTGCAGTAATTGCGCACAACCAATCAGAGTTTCAAATGTCAAAAGGACATTACATATAGATTAAGCTGACAAAATATATTCCACCGCCTCGACTTTTCATGGAGGGACAAAAAAATTTTCAGGGCACGTGACTTCTGGAAAACCATTAAATACTTCAAAACAAGCCGCAGCAAAAAAAGAACAAGCTTGATGAGGGATCTAATAACTCCAAACCAAAATATGATGGAAGACAGTAAGGATCTTCCATTAGTTAGCTTCTGGCTTCTCATCTTTTGACATTTCACTATCAAGATAGAAAAATTTAAGATATCAAATGACCATATTAGATAAAACAATACAAGAGAAAAACACGTGGAACTTGACTTGGTAAAAAAATAAATAGAAAATCAAATAATCATGTTGCATAAAATAGCATGGGCCGTGAGTGTCTACTTACAGGATTAGTTTACTGAGAGAAGACACTGCATTATCCAAAGCATGAATAGCCATCTTCTTTACCTATATTATCAAGAAATGCAGCAGTAGGAATTATTCATCAGTTCAAGAAAAAAATTTCAATTGACACAACTAATCAAAAGCTGCACAAGGGAACCAGCATTGGATCAAACACCGAATATAATCCAACTTTGAATCCATGATAGCAAGAAGTTTGCCATAAGTTCAAAGCTGAACACGTGTAGTATGACACTAAAGCAAATAACAAGAAAATTTATTCATTTGCAACTATAAAATCGAGTTTTATGACTGCTAAACTTGAGGAATAACAAGAGCCAATTTAGAAATGATGGCATTTCACAAAATTCTTGACAGAATAAACAGTCAGAGTAAGATACAGTATCATATTATGTTCCTCCATTGTCTTACATTAAAACTTTCATTTTATTTAACTTGAAAAAATAGAGTAGCCCTGGCACATCTACCAATTCAGGTTAACAGAAGCCTAAATACCATCCGTCAGTTTCATCAGTCAACATTCCATAATCAAAATCTTTTATATGCCAGCTTTCACCAATTGACCAGTAAGTTACCAAACACAAGTTTACCTCTAACTTATCCTCCTTAGCTTTGTGGTTCTGGGGAAGAGCACGAAATTCCTCAGTCAAACGATTGCACTCTCCAAGATTTTCAGGTGAAACGAAGTCGAGAGCAACTTTAATGCAAGACTGAAAATAGCAACAAACAGACATCAATGGTACAGAGGTACAGCTACAACTTTGGAATTATAACAATGAACAAAATATCAACTTTCATTAAAGGGCTGTCGGAAAGAAAAAGCGAGCAAAATCACACACATTCTTCAGTAACTTTAAACCAAATAAACGAAATAAGGGAAAACTTATGACAGTCTGACTATCAATTGCTGCTCTTTTACTCTTCTGTACTTAGCTGAGAAGCTTGGTTCAGTTAACTGGAGAACAAGAAACAAATCTCCAGTCTACAAAAGACCAAGGTAAGTTAGGAAGTTATAAGAACAAACCATTAAACTGATTAAGTTCGCATTCATATCAAGTGTTCTAACCAATTCAGTTCTCCAAGTCTCTCACCCCCCAGACACAAAGCATGGAGACATTTCCAATTCAAAAATGATAAATTTTCATGAGACGTCTTATAATATGGTAACAACAGAGAACTTAGCAAAATATAAGGGAAAACCAAAGTGATCAGCAATTAACCTTAAAACACTTGTCACAGGAAAAATCGACTCTAAACAACTTTACCCTAGTCCGGAAACACAATAGGCAAACTGGAGCTAGATTAGATATCTTATTGTTTGAGATAGTCAGGCATTGTGGTAATAAACAATCAGTGTGTAGCTAAGATAAATGAAAGTGCAAGGGCATTAAAATTGTGATGCTTGATGTACCTTAAGATTTCTAACTTGATGTGGACATCCAGCAGGAATAAACACAGCTTCTCCAAGTTTTTGCTCAAAAGTCCAAGGTTCAATTCCTATATAAGTTTTATATTAGCATTTTATNTTTAAAAAAAAAAAAAAAAAAAGCGCATAACATTAACGCAATAACACTAGTGAACAAAGCTCCACAACAAACCGAATTCCTCCTTGAGCTTCGCCTTATGATAAGAGTTCAAGTACAAACTTTGATCATGAATTGGATGTAAAGCCTATGAAAATAAAGATAAAATTAGCATAGAAAGGCTATTCAATCAAAAATTGAATATACAACCATTAGAAAGAAATAGACTTATTATAAGCAATCAGAAAAGAAAATAAATAACTATAGTGAATTCGATAGTAAGTTCTTCCAACAAACAGTTGTTCAGTTATGTTTCAGCATAAGGTTCACCTACCTGCTCCACCGGACGACCGTAAATATGCCTAAATTCTTTATGATGTTTTCTAAGATATTCCTCAAGCTTGGGAATATCTTCTCTTCTGAAAATGTCCCAAAGTGCACCTCCCTCCCCTTTATCTAGACCGGATGCAGCGTGTTTAAGGTTAGTCTCTGAAAGGCATAAAGAACACACCTTCTGATGCACATAAGAAAAATGGTAGGAGCTAAAATTACCTTTTCCTGCCTCAGTGTTGATCTTTTTTGACTTATTTCCTTTTTGACTGTGACAAGCAGGGTTCTTTGCAGACAAAACTTTGGACTTTTCGTTCACCTTATTACGTAGTTTTTCACATTTACCACTTCCATTTCTCTCTGTAATTTTCTGGGTTTCAACTTTATCAGCAACATTTCCAGATGGCAATCCAGAATCAGTATTTGACTCCTCAACATCACCCTGAAGAACAGCCTTATCACTAATTTCATTAAGAGGATCAGGAGCAGTTGCATCAGGTTCATTATCATTCGTCGTGGCATCAGAAAATTTACTCTCGTCAGGGGTGTGAGTCTGCTCGAGACCATCTTCCTTAGCAACAGAAAATATTTTGGCAGGTGCTGTGGAGCATTGAGCTTCCAATTTAATGCCGACATTTGCTTCCTCCATGGCTATTTCAGCCCCTTTATCATCTGCATTGACATTACTGAAGAGTTCTTCTTGGTCCTGCTTAGCATGCCTTTTTTTTAACTCTTCAATTTCATTAAGATCATAGAACCTTGGATCCACATCAGCAGTGTGCATCAACACGTTCACCTGAGAAGTTTTGCAAATCCCGCACACCTTTAAATTATTTGCAAATGGAAGTTCACAAGCTAACAATGCAAAAAACTGAAATATAACAAAGGCGACACATCTAGACAATCACAATTCCGAAGCAATTATAGTATAAGGTAAAATCTATAGAAAGTTTAAGCAATTGTGCCTGGACATCACATATGAACAATAGCACACAGTTACCAGACAACGGAATACAGAAGCAAATCCAACAGGTGTCACATAAACAAATACATCTTTGTGTGTATCAACTCATAGCTTAATGGATGCAATCATAACTCTGTGACTACACCAAGAGGCAAATCTTAAAGTCAGCTATATTGAAATTTGACTGTTATAAGTACCAGTCGAGTACAAAGCAGTTGCTTTAAAAGACACCGAGTCGTTTCATTGGGTAGTGCATGGGCTACCAAAACTCAGAACAGCGAAGGCAATGTATCATCTTTTAGAACACACTTTAATCAACCTTTTGGGGGATGACTTGAAATACAGTCATTTAAAAAAAGTAAATAATAAAAAACAGTTAAGTGAGCCGACGAAAATTTGAAAGCGGGAAATGGAAATGAGAATGAAATGTAACAACTAAAGTTGATCTGATATTACAAATAATATTGCTGGACTTCATAATTGAATTAAATTGTTTTTACTTCTCAAATCTAGCACCCAAAGGTTATGAGATAAAAAGTTGTGTTGTAGAGGTAAAGAAGCAGAGTAAAGTATATAGTTGTCAAATGACTCAAATCAAACATACAGAAACCAGCTAATCCCACCTAGTATGGTGGAATATGACACAGTTTATTACCTTAGCCATAAATTTTTCATCTAGACAGTTCTTGTGTGGGTGTGAAGCGTTACAAACTAGTAACCCTTTGGACCAGGTTAATATAAGAGCATGTACAATGCTTTGAGTCTAGTTTTGCTTACATGGCATGTAAATAGACTTAAGTCTTGGATGACATGGACAAAAATATAGAAAAGTAATGAAATTAACTCCAATGCAAAGAACCTACATCTCTACTTGGGTCTAAAATAGACTCAAGGGTAGATCGAGTCTCATTTTCTTGCTGCCACATCAGCATGACCGAGTCCAATTGCATTTTCATTGGAGTATATATTTTTCTAGACTGAGTCTATTTCCTACACGACGTGTATATTTTTTTTAAAGAACCCAAAGCATTGTGGATGCTCTAAGGTCTATATCCACAATTAGCGGCTCAAAAATTGAATTGGGGGTCAAATCTCAATTATTTCTAAATTTCTAGTCTTCAACAAGAAATGTGTGTCATTGTAATGACATGCTAGATCATTATGTAGAAGAATTTCATTCATGTCCTTTCTAAGGGTAAAATACTTTTTGCTAGTTGTACTATAATTGTTTTTAGATTTTACAACCTTCAGTATTTTACTTAGTAAATTGCAACTTAAAATTCATGAATATTCATAATTTACAATCTCTCAGCACATCTTGATCACACGTGTTTTTGGCAGATGATTGTATTGTCAATATGTGCAAAAGGTAGCAAATTACAAATATTAGAACTTGCAAGTTATCCAATTTCACCATCACTTTTTTAGCTCAAAATCTAACTCAAATTTAATTCAACTCAACTTTCCTCAATATTATCAATAAAATTAAATAATACCAATCAATCATCCACACACATCAAATCAACAATAATTTACTATTCATTTACTCACATAATTTTAACTACCCGTCATTTCAAATCATCTTTCATACTTTTACATCAAATCAAATTTAACCGTTTTATTTTAAATATTATTTTAATACATCTAAAAATATCACATAAACCTAACTAAACCAACTTTTTCAATATCAACCAAGGTTTTGAAAACTGAACCGGTCATCAAACCAGTGAAGCTACCATCACTTGTCGGACCAGTGGTCAAACCGGTTTATTAATATATAATTATTTATTTATTTTATATGTATAATATATAATTGTATATATTTATCATTAATTTAATAGAGTATAATGACATTTCACTAAATAATAGATACAACCATTTAATTAATGTTAATAATTTTTTTTCATATATTTTTAAATTACAGAAATATATATTCTAAATATTTTTAACAAATAACAACCCATGTTTTTTGGATCAAACAAGGAGAATCTAACTTCAATTAAATATAAGTCGTGTTATGGGCTTTCGGTTTGAAGTTTTTTATTGTTTTCAGTTATGGCCTTTGGTTTATTCTAATTTTGGACTCCAAACACCTTAATCTACATGCCAAGTCCAAATTAAAAGGCAAAGAAAATAGGAGTGCATGCTAAGTTTGGTAACTATATATCCCACATCAAAAACACAAGGAAAAAAAAAATCAGCTATTTAATAGCAACTTTTGCTTCAATGATCACCACCTTACAAGATTAAAAACTGAAACTGTTGGACCACTGGCATTGGTTTTCATCCAGTTCAAACGGTTTATAGCCCCAACGATTCCATACCTCAAACTGAATCGGTGTGTCGGCCGGTTCGATCTGATTTTCCAAACCATGATATTAACTCAAGTTAACCAACAAATTCAATCAAAACCAAAATAACTTATATCCAGCCACACCCTACATGTTGCCAAGTCCAAAAGTACATATAGTACAAATCGCAAAATATGCTTTACCCCATTTCAATCAAATGTAAAAATAAACAATCTCCATGGATCAATCTAATTTTGTTTGAAACAATCGCATGGGAACCCAGAATCACTATGTAGCCTTGAAAGATTCATAATCTCACAAAGCGGAGACAATATTCTTATAAAGAAAAGTTTGGAGATAATGTAAACTTGGCAATTTTATTCAAAAATATAAATTNTTTTAAATTGAAAAAAAAAAACAATTTACACTTCCCAAAACAAAGAAAATGTAAATAGCTCAATGTTATTAATGGCAGATAGGGGTAAATGGCGGAAGGCAAAAATTCCGCCATGGCTGCCTATGACATTGTCATAACCACTTCACAAATTTAGCATGGCGATTTGAATTCCGCCGCATTATACCACTATGGCGGCCATTTGATAACGCTGAAATACCAACTTCCTTGATGGAATTGAAAAACAGCTTCAAAAACAACGCGCAACATGCACCATTTTTATTGGCATCGTCATCAACTCAAAAAAAAGTTCCAAGTCTATTGATGTGTGCTAGTTGTTATCTAGTCAAATTGACTGTGCAACCATCATTATAATTGTCTCCTTGAGGCACTTGTACCTTCAAAATTTCATCCTAATTGAAGTTTGTTTCGATAGTCAATTGTCTAGGCACACTTTTTACCAGCGTTAATATATGGAAATAGCGAATAGCAGAAAATGGCAGCAAGATAAAATCTCACCACGACAACCGTTGTTGCAGCCTTTGGTGCCACCATAACCAACAGCAACAACAACATACCCAGTATATTCCCAACAGGTTGGGGTCTGGGGGGTCAGTTGTACGCAGACCTTACCCTTGTAATTATACAGCCGTAGCGACCCAAGGTGCATTGCGTCGTTTGATATATTTTTTTTCTTATAGAAACTTCACTAATAGAAGAAGCACTAGAATTTAATTGAGCCATTTTGATCTGGTCCATTATTAGCACTATGCCAAGAGAATCGTCAACAATGACTCTTCCAGCTCCATTTGCAATGGACATAACCATTCTTCACAAATTTAGCAATGGTCATATATTCACCACGTCGTAGTGTCATGGCCGCCATTTGATAACACTGCTTTTTACACTAGCTCAAAAATTAAAAAGGCATGCGACAAGCCAAGGCGACAAACCTCCTATTTGCCATGCCATTAAGCGTGAGGTGAGGCACCCCGCCTTATAAAGTAAGGTGAAGCATTATTAAATTATATATAAACAAAGCATGTGATATATGCTTTTGTTGAAAAATAAAACACAAAATAATCCTTTCATAACATAAATAGTGCCTTCAATTTGACTAGCAACCCTTTTTTACTAACCCAAGATTAATTTAGAATAAATAAAAAGAAAAACAAAAAGGCGAGAGGTGCGAATTCTAGAAGAAATAAAAAGGAGAAAAGACAACCAAAAGGATTTAATTATATCACAGCCAAATTTCTGAAAAGGATAAAGAACATAAGAGAAGGAAATATTGGAAGAGAAAAAAGGAAGAAGAAAACCAAAAAGAAAAGAAAGAAACCGAAGAACACACGCAACTCAGTGAAGTTGTCGGCATTGCAAGAAAACCTTCGCAAACCTACCGAATAGGTAAAAGAAAGGAACAAATCTAAATTCAGAAATACGATACAAAATCAAACGTTTGTAACCCTCATTTTTTAAATTCCCCAACCAGTGGCCTCGACTTTCTAAGGCGAGCACCTCGCCTCGCCTCGCCACGTCTGAGGTGTGCGCCATGGCAGCGTCTTTCAAAGGTCCGCCTCACCTCAACTCCTCAAAGCGTCGAGGTTGTGCTCGCCACGCCTCACGCCATGAAGTTGTCTTTTTAATCAACGCACTTTTTCCTATCTATTCAAAAAATTGTTAACGCTACCATACTATTCTCGCCAGTCCTCTCCAACAATTTTAACCAATGTATGACCTTCTATTAGGCCCCATGTTCACAAGATTGTTTTGTTTTGTCATTGTCTCGATTTCAACATGTTTGGTCACCCCATTCATTTTCAACCTCAAAATGTAGTTTCCTTTATGAGAATACCTCAAAAAGTCTATGAAAAGCCTTTATAAATTCCAGTAGTTCACATAATGCGAAGTTTTCCATGCCATTTTCAAGCTCTAAGTTCGTATTCTTCAAACCCATTAAAATTGGGTTAGGTCTTGTCAAAAAATTTAAACTTTAGGTTGCAAACCAAAAAAAAAAATGTATGCTTCAAGTTGGTCATAGTAGTTTTACATTAATTCTCTTTTCAAAATGAGTCATCACATAGTTTGGGGGGAAATTTTTTTACTTGGAAATGTGTAATGCCTCGAGGATGTTTATATACAAATTTATCTAAAAAAATCCAATCATGTTTGACCAATCACTCACTTAACTCACATCTAACTCAACTTTAACCCAGTCTCACCATCCTCAATATTATCAATATAATTATATAATATTACTCAATCATTCTTACACATTCTTAAACCTTAATTCACTATTCATCTACTCACATAATTTTAACTAACCATCACTTCACTAATCTCTCTCCTACTTTTACATTAAATTAGGTTTAATTATTTTTTAAATATTATTTTAATATAAACTTAAAATCCCATTAGTAACTAAACATACTACTTTTTTTGTTCAAAATTAACCTTACCAAACCAAGAAATACAAACAAAACCAAAATATTTTATAAACAAGCATCCACTAAATTATTCGCCAATTTCCAAATTGTGGAGGAGGTAATATATACTTGCAACCCCATAGCTTAGTTTGCAATTAATGAAAGGAAAAATGAAATTACACATATCGCCATCTCTAATGTCGAGTGATATACAAAAACAAACAAATCACATGATAACAAACATATTCTCCCTCATTTTGATTCAATAACTTATAACTCCACCAATGTTTGGTAAAGACATCAACCAAGTAAGTTGAGGAAGAATGGCAACACCATTGTGCTTGCAAAGGGAGATATAACACAATCTGCCTCTATAAGAGTGTTTCTTAACTTGAGGGTATATTTAATCCTTAGATACTTGAATCTACCGGAATGGGAAGACAAGAATTGAGGTAATCTAAGTTTTGATAGAACACATAACCACTCACTTTACGAAACAAGTTGCTAACATGCATATAAGTTTGACCTCCATGGAAAATGTAGATCGAACATTAACTATTAACTTCCATGTTGATGGTTGATGGGTGAACTCAAATTCTAATTATTTAAGAGTTATTGTAGCCAAAAGAGGAACAAAACAAAAGCTCACACATATTGAATTTTCAACAGCACTGTGTAGAGCACCGTGTCGCTAAAGAAACATTTGTGAACGTTATTGATGATTTGCCGACAATTGGGAGCTTTGACTGACGACCTTGAGATATCATTAGATTCTTCAAGAAAACAACTTTCTAAATATATATATTTCACAAAAAAAAAAATGGTGGCATCTTTAGTAGCATTTTAACAATTTAAAGGGGCAATTGTTTAAAATCCAACAAAAGGCAGATGCAGCAATGAGAGGAAATCATGGCTCATAGGAGGGCAATGGTTCGTAGCCAGTGAGATTGATGAAATTATGGTGAAGGAGAAAGAAATATATATGTGAAGTAATAAATTTTAGAAAAATGTTACATAGAGATGTACATAACACTCAATGGAGTGGCGTCCACTTGATTTTTTATTTTTGGTAGGACCCATTTGATATGAGTGTTATGTATACTTCTATGTACAATATTATGTACCTATAGCATTTCTCTAAATTTTATATGGAGACATCATGAAACACACTTTAAAATTTAAAAATACATAAATGACTAATTAAGGAAAGAAAACCATCGATACATGTATAATACGTTTAAACGTGTCTATTATGTAAAAAACATTAAAATACATTAAAAGAATAGTTAGAATAAAAACTAACAAAAAATAATTTGACCCACACAACCTAGTGTTGTGGAGAGAGAAATCAGAAGTGGCTCACAAACAAGGATTTCAGATAGGGTACCCCATCGACAGCAAAGCCCCAAACCAACAAGGACTACCAATAGGCCATTGATCTGTGTGAAGGATAATATGCAGGGAACACGTTGGAATGAGGACATGGTGACTAGTCTTTTCAAACAGGGATAGTAGTGCTATTTTAGCCATGGAGATGGAATCTGAATGCTAAGGGCCATTTCTCTATGTCCAGCACTTATGCTAATTTGATGGAGTCCAAAATGGCTAGTTTGGATAATGCTGAAAGTAGCCCGTCTGCTATAAAAGATAAACAGGTCAGAGACAGAAGCTGGAAATTAAAAATCAAAGGTAAGTTGAAGCATTTTGTTTGGAAATGCTTCTCAGGCATTTTACCTGTCAGCTGCAATTTGGTTAGGAAAGGGGTGACTGTTGATACGATTTGCCAGATGTGTGGGCAGGAGGAAGAGACATTGGAGCATCTTTTTTTCAAGTGCAGACGAGCTAAGCTAGTTTGGGAAAATATCACAGGTGAATTGGGATGAAAGGCACCAGGATACTCTCTCCTTCAAACAATGGTGTTGGCAGATTTGCACTCTTGACAAGACAAAAACCTCTGAAGCTAGGATTCAACTGTCAACATATCATATATATTATGGTGGCTGTGGAGGTCCAGGAATCTATGGATTTTTGAAAGAATGTGGATTTATGAGGTGATGGTGACTAAAGGAGGTTAGAAAGAGTGGCAGGAGTTCTCATCTAGATTGATGTAATGTCCTTTGGTTTGGTTTGTGCGAGTCAATTTTAGTCAGTTAGTTAGTTTCTGTTGTGATTGTTTGTTAGGGCTGCAGTGTATATGGTTGGCAGGTGTTTGGGTCAGGTTGTTTTCAGGTGTGTAGTTTTTTTTTTCTCTTATCTAGTTTGTTAGCTTCTTGTTAGGGCTGCAAGTGTTTAGTGATATGTGTGAAAGTCTTTCAGCTGTGTGTTTGTTGTTGGAGGTTATTACCGGCTAAAGGCTTCAAGGTGTCATACCTTGCTTTAGTTGTGTAGTTGGTTTGTGTTTAAACCACTGTACAAGTGTGTCTCCCAGTGTGTTTGTTCCCTTGTGGGATTGTATCAGGCTCTAAACTTGCTTTGTTTTAATGGAGATATCTATGGTTGAAAAAAAAAAAACCTATTGTTGTGGAGCAGAATATGGACCGAAACCAAATCCTAATATTAGGTACGATTTTTGGTTTATATTTTTTTAATATTTCGGTTTTCGGTTCGGTTTGATAGTAGTGATCGGTTAACCAAACCGAATTGAAATCCAATTTATATACACACACACATAAGTTATAAAAACATTAATTTGCAATGATTGATAATTTTCAAGCTTCAATGCCTCTAGAATGGTTCAAGCATTAATATTCACTCAAGTTTTGTTTTGTCATAGTCCAAGTCATGGTTCAGCTGATTTATTGAGAAGATTAAACATGGTATAAAAAATTATTTTTTTTTTTTTTTGTTAGGAAAAAAATCAAATTTTTAGTTCGGTTAAAAATTTGGAATTCATTGAGAAGATTAATTATTTATTGCTATCAACCGATAATAAAACCGAACCATAAATTTCAGTTCAGTTTTCGGTTCTTATAATTGATTAGCCAAATTTTTGGTTAACCAAAAATTCAGTCAGTTCGGTTCGATTTCGACGGAATGAACAACCCTAGAGCATACTGACTGGTTTTCTAGCCTCAACCATTCACCGACTAGTTTTTTTTTTACTGACATTTTTTGAGGTGTTATCGAACCAACCAATTCGATGTGATTCCCAAAAGAAAGGTTATGGAACGTAAAAGGCTTGCTTTCATTAAGTGAATGAGGGGAGGGGGGGCATGGATGATGATCTAACAAACTGTTCATGTCATTCAGTATAGTTAGTTTAAAGAAGAAGTGACAATATATGGATGTAAATACACTTACCGCATCTGAAACATCACAATGAAGCTTAGTAACAGAATCCCCACGTCCCAGCTCTTCAGGATAACCGTAGGCAATATATGTTTTAGGCCCCAGGTCTGGTTTCAGCATTTTTTCCGGTAACTTTGCAGCCAAATTTAAAGGTCCATTACGTAAGTGCGTGTATTCTTTGTAGGGCAAGGCACTAAGAAACTCTGCATTATGGCGTGGCAATCGCTCCTCGAATAAAGTGGATGGGGGCCAATCCTTCAGCTTTAACATTTCAGGCCATGAACTACTATCTTTGCGACCATCAGTGTATCCTTTGAAAAATTGATGAATGTTTACATCAACCTGGAAACACAGAAAAAAATTTACCAGATGGGTAAGGTCAGGACCTTGTTTAAATGAATGACAGATAAAAGAAACTTAAATGAATGACAGATAAAAGAAACTGAAATCTCAATCCACTGAAAAACAATCCAGCACGAAAAAACCATCTTTGCATGTAAATTCTCAAGGACAATTGTAGTAAATCCTGTTGAAATGCTCTTTCCAGAATTATTCAGAAACACAGACAAACACACACACACACACAAGTGAAAAATATTGTATAAAATAGGACCAAGACAAAAATAAAAGTTGGCTTTCAAACGCATTTACCTCACAGAAGTCAAGGCAATCTAATGCTGTTACCATCAAGTCAGACGAACCTTTCTTAATAACAACCTTACGGACAGCACGCCACATCACCATTGGGTCCCAACTCAACCCAGATGTAAGTTTGAGAACATCACGCACAATAACTGGCTCCCCCATGATCCAGTGTCTCTGAAAATGCTCCAGTTCCCATGGTTTTATATCACTTGCCAATGGACAGTACAGGTGATTGTCTTTAGAACTGACTCGAGATGCACATTTCCTCAGCTGTGCATCGTCATTGGACTCCGAACACAGACACTGAGAGGAACTTTGGATTACCTCAGCAGGTCCGCAAGCAGCAACTAAACTTTTGGCCTTCTCTTTCAACTCAAACAGCCAGCTTTCGTCAAAAATAGACTTGAGCTCCAATTTGCCATTTCCACAGCCACCCCTTTCCTTTGGCGGGCAAGGTATCTCACCTGATTCAGTTGCTTCCCACTTAGGGAGTGGCATCTGTTCAGATATACTGTCTAACTTTCTGTTTCGTGATGGACTCACTTGTTCATTTGACTCTATGGAATAAGAAATTCCATGTAAGTAATCGTTATTTGTTTCAGCATAATTGACGGTAACATTTTCACACCCCTTCAAACAGCCTTCTCGAATCTCCTTGCAGCAGGTCACACAGATATCATATGAACAATTTGGACAGCTTCGATGAAAATCAACTATAGAGGTTGTGCAATTGTTGCTGCAAAAAAAGATGTTGAACCATTCAAACCAGCAAAATATTAGACACATTATAATTCAATATGAAACTCAAGCTTACCAATACATACGCTCTTCCGGAGAATAGTCAATTTTCTCTATCTTCACATCAGATGACCCTGCACGAATAACAAGTCCAGTGACAAGGTCAACAGCAGAAAAATACGAATATCCACTAAAGGAACCAAACCAAAAGGCTTCAGTATCAAAAAATAAAGTGACACTATAATTACGTTTTCCAATCAAAAATGTGTTTGTTATGAGACATTACATAATTAAAAACTTTGTCAAATATATATCAAATTTAAAAAATTTGCTGGCCACAGCACATTCAAAGCACAATACTTCTTCTCCAAAGGGCTCAGTTTGATATTTCCATTTTTTCTATATAGATTTCAACTCTTTCCTCTTTTAGAAGTAAAATATTCATATCTACCAAGCATGCTCATGGTTATATGCTAGTTTCGACAACTCTCTACCAAGCATGGTTATATGAAAAGGTATATATTTGTCAATAAATTAAACCAATTGACATGCAGCCTGCCAAGCCTCAACAGTACTATATTTATTCCCAGTTACACAATTGTATGTTCACACAAAACATGTGTATCCTAGCAACTCATCCAGTTATCCAACAACAGAAATCCTATCTTCAAATCTAGCCATACAGTTCAACACTTCCAAATGGCAATCACTATTGCAGATAAAAGAGTAAAATTACCACAAATCTTGGCTTCCACAGTCTTCTCCACCATCTGATCATAACAAAATTGTTCCACATAAGGCAGGAGAAAACTAATGAGATACTTTAGGAATCGTATCTTATCTCCTTTATCTGCTGGATCAACAATCTTAAGAGGCTGCATTTACACTAAAAGCAAGTTAAAGCAAACCAATCAAAAGATCCATGCATGATAAGAAGATATTCAACTCAACCTCTGGTATATTAGCTCCACGTAAACAAGCTTTACAGTTGCAACATTTACGACAAAATGGACAAGCCTCTGCTATGGCTTCCTTTGATAGTTCTGGATACCTATAATAAAAAAACTCAAACAAAAAAAAGTTAAGAAGTCATCAACAAAACCAGGCTTTGGGCATTTGATGTCTGCAGATTGCCACATGTTAACCGCAAATTAACTTCTTATGGGTGCTACAAACAAACAAGTTGTTACTGAAAAAGAAAGTCTTTATAAAATAGTCTGATATTAGAGAAAGGGGGGTGTTGTTTAGCAAATGGAATCTGTAATTGAGTAAACATAGATAAAATGTACCATGCCAGGATGCATTCAAAACAATATCGCTTTCGAGGTGCAGTACGACATTTGCTGCACCGTACCACTTTCCTATCACTCCTCATACATTGATGACACATCTGGAATTTATCGTTCGGATCCTGTTGATTACAGAGTAGAATTAGTTTCAGAGTCCAAAAAAAAAAAAAGAAATAAAAGCAGGGCGGGCAAGACTGCTAGGTAGAGTACAAACATACATCACTTATATATTTGCTTCCTCTGGTTGATTTCTGTGTATCTAGAGTCTTTTTTTCTCCATCTGAAGTCTTTTTTACTCTTTGACTTCTACGTTGTGAGCTATCCTTCGATTTTAGTTGAACTTTTTCATCTTCTCCAATATCTGCTATCTCTTCTTCCTGCATTCCCTTACCTTTGAGCATCTTCGAGTTTGAGCCAGAATCCATCTCAACTCTTGTAACATCTTTATCCCTCAACCCAGTTTCCGAGTGACAAACAGAGCCATTTTCTTCCTTCTTCGGTTTCTTCATGGCAAATAATGCCTCCTCTTGCACTTCCTGACTCTCATGATCATTATCCTTTGTCCCAGAGTTCACCGCACTACTCTCCTTCCTCTTCTTGGCTAATTTCAGCCCCAAGCCATCCTCATCACGTTTTACTTCTTTTTTTTTCATTTGTGTTTTCATCTCCAGGGATTTAAGATCCTTCGTCTTCATAAAATCAGCATCCTTTTCACCCTGTTCACCAAATTCCACGCCCTGATCTCTATCATCACTATCGCAATGACATGCGTTATAAAAGTCCTTAATCCGCCCCAACGCCGGCCTTTCATCGTCTTTCACATTCTCCCCTGCCTCACCACTATCTACACCCACCGGAATCTCGCTTCTGTTGCCCGCCACCTTGCCCCTCGACTTCTTCTCCGGGATAACCTCTTCCTCAGAGGAGGAACCGCCGTTTCTCTTCCTGTTCGAACGCACACCACCGCCCCTGGAGGATCTTTTTTTCCCAACCCTACCAGCCTCGGCGGGCTTCCCATGGATGTGCTTCTCGCAGTAGCCCTTGTCGCCGATCATCTGCGACCGGCACCGCCACTTGCCGCGTTTCATAAGGCAGCGCTCGTCGTCCGGCGGCGGTGGGTCATCTCGTCCGGTGGTCATGACACGCGTGCGCCTCGCTGGCAGTGCCTGCTGATTTTGCGGATAACAATTTTTTTTCCCCCAAAAGTTGATGAGATTCTGGATTGAGATTGATATGGATATTTTCTACAAAGGTGGTCCGGCTTTATACTGCGGCAATTAGGGTAGATTTTTCAGTTTCCCGCCCATGGTTTTGATGCAAAAGAAAAAAATCGGAGGGAATTCGAACAGTTCTACAGCGAGTGTCTCTCTCTTGTTAGGGCTCTTTTGAATTTTGAATTGGTGCTTTTTGTTATGACATTTTTTATTCAAATTATAATTCTAATGATAGACAATGCCTTCTCTCTCTCAAAACTCGGAATTAATACTTCAAGAAATGTCGCATGGGTTGGGATTGGGTAAGGAGGAATGAATATCAAAGGAAACGTACCAATTAGTATATACTCCCAAGTCCCAATGTTCAATGTTCGGCTCAACTCCATGAAAAAAAATAATGGTCGAAACCGCCATCAATGTGATCAGCTCGAATTTGGCTCATAAAATTGAATTAAAAGATGTCTAGTTATGGATATTTAAGTGTTATAAAAGTAGAGAGAAAAAGAGAGAATATAGAGAATGTTTTCTTTTAGTTGTATTTTTTTTATAATTGAAGCTTTTATATATAGGAAAACTTCTTATGGCACAATCGTAATAATATAATTACATCAGGAGCAAAATAGTCATTCATATATATTATTTTATAATATAATTAATTATGGTAAGTGGTGGTTACACCCACCACGCACACCATATTATAACACTCTCCATTGAATGACTATTTTAAATATATTTTAATCATTATACAAAACCCAATCTGAATATCTTGAAATGTATCTTGTGGCCATCAAATACTTGTGCTTCAATATGTCAGGAAAACACGGTGGGAGAAAACCCGATCATTTTGGAATCATATTGCTCCTTCAGGAAAAACCCGATGGGACAAAACCTGATCATTGTGGAAGCACAACATTTGCTCCCCCTTAAATAGATCATCTCTATTGGAGTATATACGTGTTGCCTCGTTAAAACCTTGTCAAGAAAACCCAATGAAAAAAACTTGATCGAAGGAAAAAGAGTACAACTACCCCAGAATTTTTTTATCATCATGAGGAATTATATCAATTTTTCAGTAGTCCTCATTATACCATGAATATGCCTCGTTAAAACCTTATTAGGAAAAACACAGTGGAACAAAATCCTAATGAAGGAAAAAAAAAGTACACTATTCATGTGAAATACGTCATCCCTGTTGCCTCATTAAAAACCTTGCTGGGAAAACCCAATGGGACAAAATCTCAGTTAAGGGAAAAAGAGTACAACGCGTATTCCATATATTCAACATAATAATCTTTTCATGAGTATCATATAGATTTATTCATATTTTCATATATTGATGGTATTTATGCCAATATCATTCTTTGTGCAACTTTCAGTCTTAAACTCATTCTTATCACTTATTTGGGGAATTTTAATTTGCATAATACCAACGCTTCCAGCGTATTATTCCGTCATCATAATATTTTACATATTTCACCTCCATCAATATCATTCAGTTTATTTGCACACTTCTAGTGTGATAAATTTCAATTATTGATTCTCCCCCTCATCTTAATAGATTCCTGATCTGTATTTTCAGTATTGAATTTCTTGAGGGGAATTCATATAGTCTCCGTTTCGTTCTCGATTTCAATATATAATAGGAGAACTTTGAACTCATGTCACTTGTAATGTGCACATTTTCATTTCAAGAGTTCATCATACCAATTGGTATATTACTAGCTTTATTATTTTTATATGACACTAATTTTCATTATTTCATAACAATTAGGTTACGTGTCATATACCCATTATGTGATCAAACCATTTCGTAACTTCAGGTTACGAATCATATACTCATGTGGCTATCTAGTGGATCCATAATATCTAGTAGCACACATTGAGGGGTAGTGGGCCCATATATATCATACCCCTTTCATACTCAGATTGATCAAATATCGGTTCACATATATTTAGCTAGTAATAATTTTCACCAATCGAGAACAAAACATCTCATATCACAAAGAATAAGTTAATGATGCAAACCATCATGATTGATATAAGTAAACATCACAATAATTCATTGTGACACATTTATTACATCATCTTTCTGCAGCAATAAACGCATTTTAAGTGCAGATTTTGACACACAATACTTTATTCAATATTTAAATCCAGAATCGTATCACATGCATATCATACCTTAAGGGTATATCATCAATCGATGACCCAATACTTCGGGGATCAATTATACAGCTGATGTACTTATCCACCAATATATCAAGTCCAAAGATAACTCAACATACATGAAAACATAGATATTTTCAACGTTTATCATGATATCTCTTTAAGAAGATAAATAATAAATTTAACTAACAAATTCATCACAAATGTAGTATCAAGCCTGATGTAGTTTGCAAGATAAAATTTTATAACAATTGCGCATAGTAAATAAACTTCAGGTCGTTTGTGCACTTCAAGTCCATTAGAACTTCAGGTTCTATAATATCCTCATTAGTTTCTTTGGATCTTTATAAATATTTGTCAACTTCTTAATATTTGACATTCATTGGTGTTATAATTTTACATCTCTAAAAAGAATTCAAGTATATTGGTTGGGTCAAATATACTCCTTCTAGGAGATGCTTGATCTACAAGTCGAGATAATACTCTTTGGTATTTAACCAAGATTTTCATTCTAATTCCGTTTATAAGCATGAGCTAATGTTTTATATAGTGTTCACCACATAATCTATTTGACGCCGAGATGATCATTTTGTATATTATCATTATACACCAGTTTCTACCTTGAATTTCATACTTTACTGCTTCCTGAAGAATGAAATTCAAGGTAGAAACTGGTGTGTAATGATAATATACAAAATGATCATCCCGGGTACTCTAGTCCATCCAAGACTTTCACATATGACTCACATATAATGATATTATCATTATACACCAATTTCTACCTTGAATTTCATACTTTACTTCTTCAGGAAGAAATTTGTTGGTTGTACCACATCTTACCAACAATTTTATATAATTAAATGATTTATTATTTAATTATCTTTCATCTCGGGTACTCTAGTCCATCCAAGACTTTAACATATGACTCAATAGTCATGGTAATGTTGCTGCCATAAATCTTAACTTGCGGAATAATAGATAATGAGAGAAATTTTATAAAATTTTAGGTCTCTACGTAAACCCATGTGTATAATCTCGCTATATTTACATCACACCACCACATCACATGTTTCATATAAATATTCATTATCCTTCTGCGATATGCTATCCTACTGAGATATATCTTGTAGCAAGTGGAAGCTCTGCCTTTATTTTCCTTTCGATCTCAATCAACCTAAACGCTTCTAGCACTTTCATTATTTTGATCCGGATCATTATTTGAGATAGTAAAGAAATTGCATAGGCAAGTATATTGTCGACAACTATGATATTCAATTTATATTCTCTCAACCATATGTGCAACTTCATATTTACTAGCCATATTTATAATCATTTTCCGTAACATTTAATTTTGGTTGTTCCGCATTTCCAGTCCTATAATGGTTTAATGCACGTGCAAGATGTATTGGATCAACTCTTCAGGAGTTTCTTATAAAGGATTTTTAATTCTTGAATGTACATTTTTCGTGGACTTTCATACATCATATTATATCACCTTATGCTTCTAGCATTAAGAAGTCAATCATTCTCTAGAGAATTTGCTTACTTTGCGGTACATTTATATATATATATACAAATTGTTTACTCCATTATTACTATAAATTTCGTTTGGCAGAAATATAATATGAACTTCAAGTTCAATTTTTATTACGTGGTTTCAAATGATGAAAACATTAATATTTCACGGCATTAATAAACTTATGCTCATATCTCCCCCTAATGCCGTGAAATCATCTTCATATATTATGCAAAACACGTACCAAATAATAAATTGATCCCCTATAATGGCCTCTAGGTATTAAAAATTCGACGGAGTGTAAAAATCATAACATACCTAGTTTGTAATATAGGCCAATAAATGTACGAATTGGTGGTGATATAAGATTGTGCATAAAACAATAATAAAACGCAGATGGGAAATGTTCTATTTTTCACTCACTATTTGGGGAAAATTATAATAAATAATTGTCCAATATGATCCAGCTGCTCATGCTAATTATCAAATATATAAGTTGGGCATCGAAGTATTAATTTGTAAGTGAACACTATATGCTTCAGGCACTATGTTGTAGTAATTTTTACCGGAGTAGAATCGAAAGAGTCGAACCGGGTCGTGTCTCAAGGAAGGTCAGCCGGATTATTTGTACGATTATTCAATCACACGAAAAGATAAAACAAGTCCTAAACACTCTAATTCAATTGATTGGTTTCGATTATCAGCTACTAGATTAACCACTACTGATTCTCAAACAAGACAATTTCGATCACACAACTTCAAACGAGATTCAAATAATTATAAAAAGAACTAGAGCGTTGGGGACAATCGTTTCCGGTTCTCAATACATTTAACGGGCAATCAACTACTCGGCTAAAGGGTTCGAAAAACCAATTCATCTAGAGGTTTATTCTCAATAACTCACGAAACAAGAGAATAAACATAAACGAACAATCATCGAATCAATTAGCACATAGACAATACGTCTCCGAACAAGTCTACTCTAAACGAGCCTAAGTCGATCAATTCCTCCCCTTCCGGTTCTAGGAATCGATTTAGTGGATTAAAATGGTGATCAGTCATTCAACCCTAGGATTAACACAACTCGAATAGATTGAGTAATCAACATTCATACAAATGAAATTGAACCAGAACATTTATCCCCTAACCCTAGTTAACAAATTTAGCTACTCATCATCAATTCAACATCAACATACACATCAATCCAAGCCATCATAATCATAAATAAAATGAAAGGGAAGCTTACGATTAAAACGAATCCAATGTCAAAGAAACTAGAGTAATCCAAATCCTAAAGTCGATTCTTGGAGCTTTCACTACCCAAGATCGAAATGAAATCACAAGAGAAAGATTGTTTTTGGAAGTGAAAAACGAAAGTACACTGTCTGGAATGACTCACATTAGCCCTAGCTTCGAAAATATAGCATTCTCCTATTCAAAACCCACAAAAATTGTGCCTGTGGTAAAACAGACCTTAGCGCCGCTAAGGTGCCTTAGCTGTTCACCCCAGCCCTCGTTATGATTAGGTAGCACCGCTAGCCATTTAACCTTAGTGGCGCTAAGGTCCTGGAATGCCCAATAGTTGCTTTTTTTTCTTCGGCTCGCGTGCTCGGCTAGTGTTGCTCGGGTACTGCTCGAGCTGGAAATTCGACCTCCGCATGTTTGGTCGCACGAACGGGCATGAAACACTTGCTAACCGGCATAACCTGAAATCACCAAAACCGGACAAACGCGAAGAGCAAGAGAAAAACAGGAGAAAAGACACAGAAAACACGAAACACGGCTGAATAACATTAAAACACGAGAAACGACTAGATGGACCGGCAACACCTAACAAACGACAACAAAAATAGCAACAAAAATGGGACAAACACACTACAATTGAACTTTGGTTGTGAGCCTTTTATTGTAGCTATCAATAATATTATGTGCTTCGGGCACTACATATAAATTTATTGTTGTAGCTATCAACAATATAAATCAATGATATGCATCTTATCAAATATACAAGCAAGTATAATAGTTTGAGGAAGATTTCTGGAACACTATCTTAAACCTCACCCTTTGAGGGTAGTATAATAATTTGAGGGTAGTATAAATTAATGATATGCACCTTAAGCGTCTCAACGCTATCTTAAACCTCACCCTTTCCATGGAGGAAGATTTCTGGAAACAGAAAACTAACCTCAAGTGGAACTTGGAAGGTGAATGTAACACCAAATTCTTCCATGACTTGGTCAAAAAGCATCGCCACAAATCCACCATTCATAGCATCACGGACCGAGGCACTTCGATCTCGGACCCTTCCCTTATTCAAAAATCCGCCGTTGACTTCTTCTCCAATCTCTTCTCTGACTCCACGCCCATTCTTGATGATCCTGACCAAGGGATCATCCCTCCGATTGTCTCGGATGTAGATAACACTACCCTCTGTTCCCCCCTTCTATCGACGAACTCAAGTCGGCTGTCTTTGACATGGATGGCAACAGTGTTGCCGGCCCGGATGGGTTTAATTCCACTTTCTATAGGACTTGCTGGGACATCATCGCAGATGACGTCTTGGAAGCAACCACTGACTTTTTTCGAGGCACCCCCCTCCCTTTAGCGTACACCGCCACTACCATATCCCTTATCCCTAAAACTCCGTCGCCTTCTTCTTGGAAAGATTTTCGCCCTATCAGCCTCTGCAACACCTCTTATAAGATCCTTTCCAAAATGCTCAGCCTTAGACTCAGTCACCTCCTCCCCTCTTTGATTTGTTCGGAACAATCTGCCTTCATTAAAGGTAGACTCATTACCGATGATATCCTTACTGCTCATGAGGTCGTTCACGACTTCCCCGTATCCCCTTCTAACCTCATGATCAAAATTGATTTGGAGAAAGCCTTTGATCGGCTGAATTGGAATTTCCTTTACCAGACTCTTTCCCTCTTCGACTTTTCCCCTAACTTCGTTCATCTTATTAAAAATTGCATATTCGACTGTAGGTTCTCAATCCTCATTAATGGCACCCCGGCTGGTTTCTTCCGCTCTCATAGAGGTATTCGCCAGGGAGACCCCCTATCCCCCCTCCTATTCGTTCTGGCTACTGACTACCTGTCCAGAAGTCTCAACCAAACTTTTAACTCCAATCCCAACATGTATTTTGCTCAACGCAAAAAGGCCCATGTTTCTCATCTCATCTATGCCGATGATATCCTCATCTTCTCCCAAGCATCTCACCGCAACCTTCACCTCCTTTCTCAGACTCTCGAACGGTTCGAAAATATCTCGGGCCAGAAAGTCAGTTCTCATAAAAGTCGTTTCATTCTTCACAATCCCTCCCCCATCTTGCTGAGCATGTCCACTGCTTAACTGGTTTCACTCAAGCCAACCTCCCCCTCCAGTACTTGAGAGCCTCTCTTTGGAAGGGTAACCAGAACCGAGACCTTTATAATGACCTTCTCTATAAAATCTCTTCTCGTATTAGCTCATGGAACCACCACATCCTCTCTATTGGTGGTCGACTAGAGCTAATAAAATACACCCTCATCTCCATCCCCTTCTATTGCCTTCAGGTTCTTAACCCCCCCCAGAACGTCATCCTTTCTATTGAGAGGTGTTTCAATCGCTTCCTCTGGGGCTCCAACGATGATCGTCGAAAACTTCACTGGGCAGCTTGGCATCGCCTTTGCTTTCCCACGGAAGAAGGAGGTTTTGGTTGTCGTAACCTCCAGGATCTCGTCCGCACCACTGAGGTCAAACTTTGGTGGCGGCTTTGCTCTACCTCTAACATTTGGACCAACCTCATTCGGTCCAAATATTGCCCCAAACTCCACCCCATGGTGGTTAAACCTAACCCTACAGACTCTCCCACCTGGAAGCGGCTCTGTAGCATCCGTACTACGGTCGACCCGTGGATTCACTGGCTCACCGGTGATGGCAATATTTCTTTTTGGCATGATCAATGGTGCCAATATAGTCCCCTATCTTCTCTAGCCACCCATACCCGCTCTAATCTCCTTGTCCGTGAGGTATGGAACTGAACTGGGTGGAACATCCCTCTCCTTCAGACCCTTCTCCCTTCCCACGTGATTGACTCTATTATCGTCTTCCCCACCCACCGTCCCTCCTCTCCTCCCATTTGGAAACTCTCATCTAACGGCTCTTTCTCCTTTAAAAGCGCATGGCAAGCCATCCGTACCCCTCGTTCCCCTAACCCTATCTTCCGGCACATTTGGAGTTCCCTTATTACCCCTACCATCTCTACCTTCATGGTCCGCCTCCTTTCCTTTTGGATCTCCACCCCAGATGGCCTATCCCATAGGGGAATCAATGCTTCCATCCCTTGCTTCTGTTGTGAGGATATGGAATCCATCCCTCACCTTTTCCTCCTCGGCCCAGTTGCCTCAGCAGTATGGGCCAATTTCTACTCTCTCGCCGTTATCCCCCAAATATCCTCCGACAGCATGCAAACCACTCTCTCCCACTGGTTCAACTTTGGGACTGGCAAGTCCCATCTATTCCACCTCATTCCCATTCTTATCCTTTGGTACCTCTGGTGTTCCCGCAATGACAAAATAGTTAAACAAATCCCCTTCACTGCTCAACGCGTCTGCGATCGAGTTTGGAAACATCTTCAACTCATCGCCAATTCTTTCCTCCTTGAGGAGTCCTCCTGTTCTCGAGCCCCTCTTTTGAGCCACCTTCTCTCCCCTTCCTTTCGGCCCCATCGTCGCTAGAATCGCCCTCGTATGCAGATTATCAGATGGACCACCCCCTCTGTCGGCACGTTGAAGATCAATACAGACGGAGCCTCGAAGGGTAACCCCGGAGAGGCAGGAGCAGGTGGCCTTGCCAGAGATCATAGAGGCAGACCTATTTTTGCGTTCCACGACTACATCGGAGTTCAGACCAGCACCATTGCAGAGCTCCATGCTGTTTGGAGAGCATTATCACTATGCCGGGACTTGACTTGACTCTGAGGTTGTTATATCACTCCTTACGACGACTCCCGGTGACGGCTGGCGGGAAAGAGACCTCATTCAGAAGATCAGAGCTCTATCAGATACTCTTGACGTCAGCTTCACCCACATCTACCGTGAGGGTAATAGTGCCGCCGACTACCTCGCATGTTCCGCCTGCCGAGCCCGAGACTTTGTGCTATATGATGTCGCAGACTTACCTGGACCCCTTAGGGGCATCATCAGGATGGATTTAGAGTATCCCAGCATCAGACGTCCCCATGACGACATCAGACCACAGGGCTGACGCCCATAATTTTAGCCAGCAAGAGATTCCATCTCCCTCCTTAGCTGGCCTGACTTCACCTTCACCCTCGGATTCTTCTCCTTCTTCTCTTCTTGTTAGGGCCCCTTTTATTGGAGGTCTCAGTTTTTCTCTTGAGTCGACTAGGCTTTGTAGGGGATTTGCCACCCCATTATTGACAAAAGTGATTTGGGCTTTGTAGGGGATTTGCCTCCCCGTACATAGGCTTTGTAGGGGATTTGCCACCCCATCACCTTTTCTTTTGATATNTAAGTATAATAATTTGAGAAAACTTGTACAGTGATGTAGTCGTTGTAACATTCTGGTTACATATCTTCATTAAGAGTATATTGAATATGCAGAGCTGATCCAAAATCAAAAGATCATGAATTAATCTAAAAATCAACGAGATTATTTACTATATCAATATTTCAAAGATACTCGTTATATAATTTTTATTCAAGTATGATAATAGTCAACAGAACCAATCCTTCAGAGATAACCAATTTTAGGACTGTATTCAAATTTACTAGTGATACTTTTAATTATATAATCCTTCAGGGAAACTCAAATTTATAGGCATAATATATTCAACAAGATATTTTCTCTGCAATTCATGATAGAAAATAACTATACAAGTTGCATACCATTTATTTGGTTCATTAGTCAATAAGACTAAAGTTCAAGATATTCAACTTGATTTAAGCTCAATAAATTTTGGATCACGTCCATACTCAATGTATAAAACAACGGAACAAAATATGCAACTATAATTTTCAAACTATAAACTAAATTCATGTCATAATTGCATATTTTGATATCTTCATCATATATATTCCAAACAACATATATAAGTCACATTTTAATATTAATATGCTTCATTCGTTTTCAGATGCATAGACAAATTAATATATGTGGACATTTTTATTTTAAAACTCTTCAAGAGTATAACAATTGAAGTATGTAGATTTCATAAGTTATATAATATTTTTCCTCTAACATTTAAAATAATCCTTATTTATATGATAATGTCTACTGGACATATCACTTTCAAATATTAACAATTAATGTTAACAATAATAGGATACATATCAAACAAGATATGTTCATAAATAAGGGCAATTATATCAAGGAAATATATATTCTTATATAAGAGGAATAATTTTCTATCATATATCTCATGTGATAAATTATACTTTAGTACATGTTCTTCTGGCACTACATATATCATATCACATAGATCAATCCATAAATATTCACATGTCCACTACCAAATAATTTTCACAATAGAATTGATTTTTCTATCAATTTTGTGGTTGTTATAAAATAATTAATTTATACAAATAGCTAGCATTTTAAGTGGGTGGTTGTGACACTAAACGTCACATTTAGTGGCAATAATCCTTATATTGTATTTAAAAAAAAAACAAGTGAATGGGGTATACAATGTTTGCAATTGATTGCTGCTACAATTCAAGGCAGACATAAAGTCAAATTATTCCAGATGGGATCACGCAAGTGGAAATATGAAACATTATTAATAATGGAGTGGTGAGAATATATGCCCACTTTATCAATGCAGTATGTTGTCGAGAGAGACGTTCTTTTGCCATTTAAAATTTAGTTTTTGCAGCTCAACTCACGTTTTTGGAAGAAAAAAAAAACTTAGTCGAGAAATCTCTACCTCAATCGACTTCCCATACACACATGAGTTCAAAAAGGGTAAAACTTACAGGGAGTAAACCGGCCTGAGTCCCATGGCAGAGCAGCAGCACCGCCGGGTCCGAGGATCCAAGGAGAAAGATGAGGTGGAGGCGCCGCCTTTGACAACGGTGCGGTCGACCACCCCTTCCTCACCTTCATAGTCGTCGAGGGTGAAGTCAAGAAGGTCATCTTCTACAGCGAAGCACGCACACGTTGTGCCCAAAATATCTATTTTCTATGGTTTAGATTTTGAGAAGAGAGGTATTATTTATTTTTATTTTATTTTTAATTTAATGGGTGAGAGTTTTTGATAAGGATCACAAGAAAAATAGTGACTTGTAATAATTTAATTTTTTATACAGAGGATCGTCTATAAGACGCAACTGTAGAGCATACTCTCGTCATATTACAAATTGAGCTCTAGAGGGTAGAGACTCGTGCTGATAACGTGTTATAAAAGTAGAGAGAAAAAGAGAGAATATAGAGAATGCTTTCTCTTAGTTGTATTTTCATTATAACTGAAGCTCTTATTTATAGGAAAACTTTTGATGACACAATCGTAATAATACAATTACATCAGGGGCAAAATAGTCATTCACATATACTATTTTATAATATAATTAATTATGGTAGGTAGTGGTTACACCCACCACACACACCATATTATAACATTAAGTAATTTTATGTAGTGGTGACATCGGTTTGGTAATCGAACCGACATGAGGATTACCGAACCGAACTGAATGTTTCGGTAACACCAAATGTTAAACCGAAACCAAACCGATTTATACTCGGTTACCAATTTTAGGTAATTGAAAAATCGCTCTGATTTCGGTAATGTACGAAATTACCGAACTGTCTTTACAAAATTTAGCTCACAGCCACAAATGACAAGCCTTGTCGAGTCAATTTTATTTTGTTTTCAGCACTGGTCAAGAGATGAAAAAAACAAATGTTTAAGTGAAGAAACAAAAGTGTACCGTCTTCTGAGCAGATTGTACACTTAATCATATTGTTAACACACCTCTAGTTTAAACCCATGTTTTTAATACCGTATCGTACCGACCAGTATTATCGGTAATACCGGATACCGGTAGTCCGACCGGTATGGTTACACTCTAAATACCGCTTTGGCTAAAATACCGGTTTATACCAGTTACATACCGGATAATACCGGTTTTACCCACAAATACCAGCCAACATACCGGTCCAAATACCAGTTTATGCCATTTTTAAAAAAATTATATATTAAAATACCGTTTATGCCATTTTAAAAAAAATATATATTTTTAATATATTTCCATTAATTTATTTATATAAAATAAAAATTCTACACTTATTTTTAATATGTTTACATTGTTATTAGATATTAATTAATTAAAGTTTGTTTTGTACTATAATAACAAATTAATTTAATATTTATTGAAACCGGTAAAACCGGTTGAACCCGTACCGTTGGCTCCCCGATATGATTATCGGTATGGTATTAAAACACTGGTTTAAACTACATCCACCTTTTCATATGAGTAACCAAAGATTTTATGTTTTTTTTCCACAATGTTGAAATATGTGAGTGAAAGAGGCTAAATAGTTGCAATTTCATTTTAATTTCCTTTTACAATAAATGCTTTGCGTTACCGCTGACCGCCATTTGCTCGGAAATATTCTTCAGTTAAGGCTCTGTATTAGTTATTCGACTCTCCCTCCTCCCAGCACTTGAAAATTATAAAAATAATATATATCTAATATTTATATTTATTTAAATACAAATATCGATTTGGTTCAGTTCGTGAAAATGAAAACCGATTATGAACACCGACAGTCAATTACCGTTAAAAGAAAATCGATTCGTTTCGGCTTTCGAATATAAATTGTCAACCCTAATTTTATGTACATTCGAAGGGCAAGTCAAATGCTCGAACATACAAACTGCTGACTCGATCTCAAATTTGAACTCGAAGTGCTCAAGCACGAATATAGACTATAGCGTTTTGCAACCCTACATAACGGTATGCATAATGCCCTGACGATTTTTGTAAGGGTATTACTATTCACCGCCGCCCCTCTCTCCCCCTCCCCCCCAGAAATTGGCTAACGACTAAATCTTCAATTACAACAATTCTTACGGACATGCTCAATTAATCACTAACATATATTTGATCATTAAATTCAACAAGCTCTAACCGAAAATGACAAATCTAACTTGTGTAAGTCTGGCCTATGCTCGTACTGGTCTTATGCAGTTCTCGTGGATCCATGATTCAGTGCATCAGTTGGTTTGATCATTCAAAATTTACTTCTTTATTTTTAACCACAATAATATTTATTCCACCACTGAAACAAAGACAAACACAAGTACACAAAAAGAAAAGATAAAAAAAAAGTCAAAATAACACTTTGAGAAAATAAAACTAAAAACATGCGCGATAGTCTAGCACATAATAAAAACATAAGAATAACAATAAAACCCAATATATAAACGTATTTTTTTTTTGGGTACAAAGTATAAACATCATCAGGGGATCTTGAATAAATAATTTGGTGTATACGAAACACTTACTTGATGCGGAAGACGACATAATTTGTGATCTTGATCTTGATGATAACACAGGGTTGAATAGATTGGAAGATCTAAATTAGTTTCTCCCTCCTGACCTTCTCTTAACGTAGCAGAAAAGTGATGGGATAATTACTGCGAACCCTAATAGGAGGAGAGAGGACTAATTTATATAGGGGGTGCTTTAGATCTGGTACGTCCATCAAATATCCAGATTAATGGCTTAGATTTGTTAAACTATTAAATAAAGGCCTAGCCCAATAGGATAACTAATTGTGAGCCCAATGCTTTCGGGCCACATATTCTTACATTCTCCCACTTGGTCCGAAAGCCCATAATTTAATAGTATAACCTTAGGTGCGCATAAACAAATCTTATTATGCCATACATCATAATAAACAATGATATGATAAACCATATAGTGAGAGTTATGGCGGTTGTACACTCTCGATTCGCATACTTCCTTCCATATACTACTACACTAATAGCTCAACACATCAAGTTTCATAATTATATATAAATATCTTAATGTCCACTTAATTGTCACGAAGACATTCATTTCTTGTTCTAAACATAATGTATACAAAATCATAATGAACAAGAAATTCAATAATAGTCAGAAACATAACATCAATGAGCTCAAGAGTGTGTCATAACATCATCATAATCAATCATCAATACAACTAAGACCCATTATATGTACATGTTCTTTAATGTCTTTGGTTGTAGACCTTTAGTGAACGGATTTGCAATCATTAAGTCCGTTCGAATATGTTCAATGCACACTCTTTGTTTCTGAACTTCCTCCTTAACGACAAAATACTTTAATTCTATGTGTTTTGCATTCTTGGAATATTTGTCGTTCTTGGAGAAGAAAACTACTGCAGAATGATCACAATACATTTTCAGCGGCTTGGTAATGTTGTCGACAACCCCAAGCC